CACGTGTCTACAACAAAATGAAAAGTAAAGCACCAATTAAGAGATAAGCACATATACACAAAAAGTAAGGATACAAATATGGGTATGCGGCAAAGTAAAACAGAAAGCAAAAAGCTGTAAGTAGGAGAAAATATGTTTTTTTTCTACAGATAAAAGAAAAAATCGACAAGGAAAATATGACAATAATAAATACCCATAAGTAGAATACCATAGCACTGAAATGTTTAGAGCAAAAGTCCCAAATATAACATGCAACAGACATAATCACAATTGTAGCAAGAGATTGTAGAGAAGAATATCATACCACTCTATCTTTGACAAATAAAGTAGAAAAATATTGAAACACAGAGCATTTGAACATGCTCAGACCTGATTTATGAGATATATGATGGGATATTTTGAACATTAATAAGCATGCTTCCCTCCCTTTCTAACTCCTACCCAGAATTCTTCTGCCCCCCGACCCTGCCCCCCAGATAGATATGAGTCACTCGCTACAGAATGCAAATACTCATCAGACTCAAAAGCTGGCCTAGGCATAAGACAGATGAATGTCAATGTGTACTAGCATAGCACTCTGTGGACCAGAAAAGAGAAAGGAGGTGAGTCAAAGGCCACAAGAAAAAGAGCATAGGCTGGGAGCTGTGGCTCACGCCAGTAATTCCAGCACTTTGGGAGGCTGAGGTGGGCTGATTGCCTCAGCTCAGGAAAACCTGGTCTCTACCAAAACACAAAAAAATTAGCCGGGCATGGTGGCGTGCGCCTGTAGTCTCAGCTACTTGGGAGGCTGAGACAGGAGAATAACCTGAACCCAGGAGGTGGAGGTTGCAGTGAGCCAAGTTTGCGCCACCTCACTCCAGCCTGGGCAACAGAGCAAGACTCCATCTCCAAAAAAAAAAAAAAAAAAAGAAAAAAGAAAAAGAGCATAAGAGAACACTCAAACCTCTGCCAGAATATGGGCCATCTGGCAGAGTGCCAGAGACAACCACAGTGTCCTTCTTGTCATTGACTTGTGAAGATCACCAAATGCCCAAAATTCCTTCAGTTCATAGGGATGTGTGTCTGTGCCTCAGGACACTTCCCAGTCCCCATCAGTTTTATTCCATATGTAGACAAATCTGTCAAACAGTCTAGGATACTTGTATACACTTGTACACCCCTTCCGTAAACAGAGGAGCTGTGGGCCCTTGGTGATTGAAGGGTGATGGTGATGTGAAGGGGAAAGCCTTGAGCTGGCCAAGGGGGCTCTAGCTAGCATGACTTGGAAATCTTCCTCTGAGCTAGAAGCTGTGTAGAATACACACTCCTGTTACAGATGAACTAAACATCTGTATGTTTGAAATGGAAAATGAACAGTATTTCCAACCCCTATGATATGTGTTTACAATGAAACAACAGGCTATGTTTAAAAAAAAACCTTTTCAAGATATGTTATTTAACAATAGTATCACAAGTCTAGAATTTAACATAGAATAAAATTTAAAAAATCAAACCACCTAGAAAAGGTTTTTTGGTTTGTTTGTTTGTTTGTTTGTTTTTAGACAGAGTCCCACTCTGTCACCCAGGCTAGAGTGCAGTGGCATGATCTCGGCTCACTGCAACCTCCACCTCCTGGGTTCAAGCGATTCTCCTGCCTCAGCCTCCCGAGTAGCTGGGACTACAGGCGTGCACCACCATGCCCAGCTAATTTTTGTGTTTTTTTTTTTTTTTTGAGATCGAGTCTCACTCTGTTGCCCAGGCTGGAGTGCAGGGGTGCGATCTCCGCTCACTGCAAGCTCCGCCTCCCAGGTTCATGCCCTTCTCCTGCCTCAGCCGCCTGAGTAGCTGGGACTACTGGTGCCTGCCACCATGCCTGGCTAATTTTTTGTGTTTTTAGTAGAGACAGAGTTTCACTATGTTAGCCAGGATGGTCTCGATCTCCTGACCTCATGATCCGCCTACCTCGGCCTCCCAAAGAGCTGGAAATTGCAGGCGTGAGCCACCATGCCCGGCCTAGAAAAGCTTTTTAAAAAATTGTCCTGAATAACATTTGGATCAAAGAGGAACTCAAAACTATAATGGCTACAGGCGTGTAATTAGAAAATAGGAGATCCATATTATTCATGAAAACAAGGTATGAAACCAAAGCCATACTCAGGAGGAAAATTTATAGTTTTGAAAAAATAAATAAAAGACATAGGAGATTAAGGATACCCAAATATACTTTAATGGGCATTTGTTGTTGCTCACATATAATATTTTTATATATATTATCTAATATCTATGTTCTCTAACATATGATATATATTAAAGAATGTATATATTATATATACATAAAATTTGGCTGCCTAACCTCTGAAGCTTCTTCCTATAGTACGGAAATCTGCCATGGAGTGAATCCACCAATCAGATGCTGCCCCTGCTACTTTGCAGCTGGACTCACTGCCTGAAAGGGCAGCCTTCATATTCTGGTAGCCATGGCCAGTGTTCAGTGACAGAGCCAGCGCATCCCAATAAAGCTGTTCCTGGACACCCTGTGGATCTCAGTGCTCATATTCCTACTTGCTGCTCATCCCCTCCACCTTGTTCTGTACACCCCTCCTGTGAATCTCTGGGCTGCCTGACATCCTTCTCCAATACATTATTTTCCAGCGTACGTTAGCTAGAGTCAGTTTCTATTGTTAAAACCTTCAAACTCTCACTAGTCTTCTGAACAACACTGAAGGAAGGAATGTGTAAGAATAATGAAAGAAAAATCAATGAGAGAGAAAATTCTATAGCAATGATTGAGTACATTCAAAAATATTTTGAAAGACCAATAAAATCAGCAAACCTCCAATGAATCTATTCACTGCAAAAATTAAGACAAACCACAAAAACTTTTACAAAGAAGAAAATGTATATGAAAGATTCTGAAGTTTAAAAAGTATGATCTGCAACTCTATACTTGATTAATGAAGAAGATAAATTACCAAAATTAACTGAAGTGGGAAACTTGAATGTACTAACGACTGTGGAGGAAATGCCAATAAGCTATTTAAAAAAAGCACCCCCCCTCCCAAAGGGCACAGAGCCAGATTGGTCTAGGGGGAGGCACCATAAAACCGGTGCTATTTAAACCCCTCTGGAGCATGCAGAAAGAAGAAGCTGAGCAGCCCTGAATAGCCCAGGACAAGAGAGACCCGCCAGTCCTGGACTCCAGCTGCAGCTGGCTTTCTGCCTTACATAGTGGTTGGCCTGCAGTGCAGCCTACTGTTGAGAGGCATTTGGACTGTTGTGTGGACAGGTCATCTTGCTCTGCCATTCTGACCCAGCTGTCACCACCCTCACACTTTTTAGTTATCTATCAGTGGCTGGTGTCAGGCCGGTAAGCCCACAGCACTCACCCAAGTCATGCTCATTAACCCTCTGACTGGCTGTCCTTATCCCAGGACCTCCACTAAGTTCAAGCATTTTTTCCCCAGTATCAGAGGAGGAACACTGTTTATTCCAGTCTACATGCTCCAAATGGAAGTGAGGAAACCAAGGCCCAGAGAGGTGTGTACTCACTTGCCCAGTTGTCATTAGGATGAAGTCAGGGTTAGGACTAGCTGGGCACTGGGAGCTAACGGCTAGGGTAGGAACTGCATGACTTTTGTCTGGAGAAATGTTATGGCAGGTGGACACCAGGGCACAGGCATATACCTGAAGTGTCCAGGGCAGACAGGACTGCTGGTCACCCCAGATGGGACCTGGTAAGGGCCCAAAAAGAGACTGAAGGTGGGAAATGTTTTTGTTTTTCAGTGTGAAGCGTTGTCAAATGTATGTTCTAGGTCTTGGGAATCCTCGGGACTTTTGGAAGCCAGATTCAGCGAAGATGCTGTACCTACTGGGGACAGCTCTGACAAGAGGTCAACGCAATGCTCCAGGTCCCTGGCTGGGTTTGGCTGTCGAGTGCGCCGACCTCTGGACCCTGTGCAAATGGACTGTAACTGACACAGCTGGTAGGGGTTACTGAGGGAGCTGGGACCCTGGTCTGGTGGACTCCCCCGGATTTGCAATGAGCTGTTTACAGCACCTTGGAGATAGTTGCTTTTAGGGCAGTTGACAGTGGGCTCAGAGCACTAAGTGGGCTAGCACCGTATTTATTAGAAAATTACTCCGTAACTCTAGGGCTCCCAGAAGACCAAAATAATCTGAGCAGATTGCACCCAGAGCACCGCGCGGAGAGAGAAGAAAGCCTGTCACCCACAGACCGCTTCCTCCTCCCACAGGTCCCCCATCCAGTTGCATTTCTCCCTCCCTAGGCGCATTTCGGAGCCTTCCTTTCTTTTTTTTTTTTTTTGTCTTTCAAATAAATATATTTATTAGACTTTAATATGTAAGAAAATAATCAAGAAGTTTATGATTTACTTCTAAGGTTTTAAAAAAAATGTCTAGATATAGCTATAAAAGGTACACACACACACACAGAGTGAATTAAAGCAAATTGTGTTCCAAAATGTGGCTTCTTTTAGTACAAAATTATCTTCCACTTTATTTTCTTTTTTTTTTTTTTTAATTTATTATTATTATACCTTAAGTTCTAGGGTACATGTGCATAACTTTTGTAGGGACATGGATGCAGCTGGAAACCATCATTCTTAGCAAACTATCACAAGAACAGAAAACCAAACACCGCATGTTCTCACTCATAGGTGGGAACTGAACAATGACATCACTTGGACTCGGGAAGGGGAACATCACACACCGGGGCCTATCATGGGGAGGGGGGAGGGGGGAGGGATTGCATTGGGAGTTATACCTGATGTAAATGACGAGTTGATGGGTGCTGACGAGTTGATGGGTGCAGCACACCAACAAGGCACAAGTATACATATGTAACAAACCTGCACGTGGAGCCTTCCTTTCTTAAACATACACCTAGCGAAAATTCGCCGGAGGGAGGCGATGTTGCCTGTGAGCCAAAGCCGGTTTCGCACCAAGACCCAGAAGCAGAGAGAACTGATCTCTCTCCCGGTACTCATGACAATCTCAGAGCTAGATCTATACCGTCCCGCGCCCAGCAAGAAGCACTGTGCGGCTGTGCTCCCCGACCCCCAAGACATCCATCCCCACGCCCAGCTTCCCAGGCCGGTCTTCTGCGCGGCTCCAGTCGCCCAGGTCTCAACGCAACAATGAAGCGTGGGCGGCCCCAACGGCTTCATTTGCATATCGCTGCGGCTTGGCCAATGGGCTGTGCAGGGGCTTTGGAACGCAGTGTTGCCATCGGCGTGCGCGCGTGTGTGCGAGTGTGACAGCGGCTGTGGCTGTGGCCGTGGCCGTGGGAGGCGGGCTCGGCGGAGCCCAGCCGCGCGGGGACCGGCCCGGGCTCCCGCTCCCCGAGCGTGTCGCGGCCGCGTGGCCCGGCCGAGCCTTGAGACCACCTCGCCCCGGCCGGTCGCAGTCGCGATGTCGGTGGCCGGGCTGAAGAAGCAGTTCCACAAAGCCAGCCAGGTAGGGAGGCGCAGAGGAGGGAAGGAGGGAGGGGGACGCGGAGGCTGCGGCCCCCCCGAGGCTCCCGGGCCTTTGGGACTCCTGTTCCCTGAAGGGCCTCTCTCGAGGCTCAATTTCTTCCCGCCTAGGAGGGCGCGAGGGTGGGGTGAGGGGCCGCCTGTTTCTCCTCGGCGTCTTGGCGCCTTCTCCTTCCCATTCCCTGGCCCCCGGCTTTGCCCTGGGCCGTTGTAAATCGGAGAGATTCTGCGTCGCGGAGGGCAGAGGTGGCGGCCGCGGGGACTCGGGCGGCGGAGACGGAGTGGGCGTGGGGAGGCCCCTACCCCGCGCAAGGGGAGGACGACCACAGGGAGTTCGATGCCTACAGGGCCTCCCCCTAGTCTCCAGCCGTTTGGTTGGGAGCGCCTCGTGGGGGGCCCATCCTCCACCGGCCACCGGCATCTCCAGAGATGCTGTGTATTTGGCGCTTGGCTGGGTCCCGCTGAGCTCCCCGCGCGCGCCTCGAAATGGTCCCGGCTGGACTGTGCCCGGCTCCCTGGCTGGGGCTCTCCACCGCAGTCCTTCCCCTCCCCACCGTCTTCCCGGTGTGGGCCTGAGGCTGGGCATTAGGCTTCTGCTCTCAAAGAGCTGACAGCCTGCAGGGGAGACACGGAGACAGACACGTAAACAAACAGTGCTAGACACACCTCCACGCACAGAGGATGGCAAATAACACAGTGGGGGCGTCAGGGAGAGCTTCCCGGAGGAGGAGACATGTCATTTGAGAATTAAGTATGAGGAGGAATTATGGTTGAGGGTGTGGGAGGATAGGAGGAAAGCCGTTCTGAGCAGAGGAAACAGGAAAACAGGCGGGGAGACATGAAATTGGTGTGTGTGTGTGTGTGTGTGTGTGTGTCATGAAATTGATGTGTGTGTGTGTGTGTTGATGACAAGCAAATTTGTTTTTCAACATCAACATTGCAGGCTCTTCCAGCTATGGCAGAGCTCATGTTGTAAAACCTGTTCCCCACCAGCACCGCTGGGTCTGTTGCTTCTCACCACCTCTCTCCCCAACCCCAGCCCCCATTTTGCTAGAGCCAGGGTAGACAGATTTCATTCAATGTCCACATTTGTGGTGAGGTCTCATCCTGCTTCTCCCACAAGTTGGCCCATAGAAAGCAACTGGAATTAGAAGATTCTCTTCCTCTAGCCCCAATTCCAGGTTGAAGGGCACTGCTGTCCCCTCACTCCCACTCTTTCCATATGGAAACTGGGTGATGCTGTTTATGGCTGTGGGCACTGGGTAGACAGTGCTGCTATTCAGGGTGTTAAGGGGCCCTGGAGGAGAGGCTATTCATGCGAGGGTGGAGATGATGGATTCACCGCTGAACCCAGGGACTTTGAGGGGTCTCTGGGACATTCAGATGTCACTGGCCTGGGTTGGGGTGCATATCCTGACCTGGAGCTCAGGGGGTGAGGCTGGTACTGGAGCTACAGATTTTTGGTGATTTCCAGCCTAAACGGAGATTTTAAAATGTGTGTGTAGACAAAAGTGAGAAAAGGCACAGTGAGTCAAAGACAGACTCTAGAGAGCACCCACATTTAGGGACAATGTTTAGCCCAATACTTGATGAGCAGTGACGACTCAATAAATATTTATTGAATAGATGAAATTTTGGGGTGGCACAACACAGGAAAGAAAAAACTGGTAGGTTACAGGAGAGAGAAGAACATCATGGAAGGGGGGCATTTAAAGGCAGGAGCAATCAACAAGTGCTTCTGTGAGCTAGGTATTGTGGAGTGCTCTCAGCTGGTACAGCCAGGAGGCCGAGTGCTGCTGTGGGCAGAGCAGTGCCAGAGTAATCGCTGGCTGTGCTTGTTACACTGGCTTCCTTAACATTGGCAGGAAATAAGCCTACTCTTTCAAAAACTTTTCCTTTATTGGTTATGGACTTCATAGGAGCAAATCTGAAAGATAAGCAAATCTCAGAGATAATGTAAGCCCTTGGGTGATTTAAGTTGGTTTCTGACCAGTAACCAGAATGAATGATTGAAATCCTTGGAAGTTATTGGCATTGGAGAAATATTTTGCTAGTCATGGGTAGTTTGGTTTAACTATCTGTAATCAGTCCATTAAAAATGAAATGAGCAGAAGGTCTAATTTAGTCTTTTTTTTTTTTATTTTTTGCAAGAGCTGAAATAATTTATGTCTTAACCTGAAAGGAGAGACATCACAGATTCTCTCTGGGCTTCCTAGCCATGTTTTGTGGTTAAAAGTACTCAGTAGATATGTTTTAATATGTTCTAGAAGTCTTTCTAAGAAATCTTGCAATGCAACAATTTGGTGGAGAAATCAGATCGGTTTAATATAATATGAGGGAGCGCAATAATAAAAAATGCCAGATGTTTTTCTCAGACAACATTTTAACAGCAGGTTTTAATTCATACAGAATTTTCCCCAGGCAGGGGAAGGGAGCCCCAGATGATGTCAATGGCTGAAATAATTTCCAGGGATCTAGGTCTGGCTCAGCCACTGACCAGCTCTGTAACCTTGGGAACATAACTTAACCCATGTGGACCTTGGTTTCTATCTGTATGATGACTCAGGGAATTTAGAAGCTATGTTTCTGTTATAAAATTGATTGTGGCAATGGTTTCACAACTCTGTGAATATGCTAAAAACCATTGGATTTTACACTTTAAGAGAATTGTATGGTATGTGAAATATATCTCAATAAAGTGATATGCGTATGTCTCTGTGTCTCTGGGTGTGTATGTATGTAGACATCTGAGTGCTGAAATTCTTAAGTAATTTAAGCATGTCAGAGTAAGACAAAGATGATAAAGTGGACCTTTTACAGATAAGGGATCCAGGACCATGGCAAACTGAGATTAGTTTTCTGAAAGATAGGCAAGGTAAAATTAACTATAACCTGGTTAACTGTTCCTTTTTTCCTGATACTTTCCCTATCTCTGGGGGAAAAAAACCCTGCTTTACAGAGAATGAACAACCGTAAACCCTGGGGATTATGCATCATTTTGGCAGCACACGGAGACCAACAGGAAAGAGGAAGAAATATGCTAAAATGAGAAGAATATAAGTTGAGTTAACAAAAAAATTTAATTCTAAGTTTCAACATTTGAGACTAGAACCCAAATTTTTCAAGTGCATAGTTAAATATTTTTTCTCTTGACAAGATTTTTTTTTGACAGAGCTGTTTACTCTTCTGGTAGAGATGTAGCTTGAGCTGTTATAAATGAATACAAATAGCATAGCTATGGCATTGTGGTTTCTTGTTAAACGTGGTGCCTCACCAATAAAAATATAGCTTACAATAATTACATTTGTGTTTCCACTCACTGATTTGTATTTGTATGCTTATTTCATAGTAATTTTTCTTGACAGCATTTATTGTTGAAGAAGGAAGTTCAGGGCACACCTGTGTGTGCTCTGACCTGGAAAGTACCAATAGCCATATTCTTTCCATTTCTGGACCTTCTTGTCTTCCAGCGTTCTTGTTCCGCATCCCATAAAAGCCTAGGGACCAGTTTCATCTCTTCTCCTCCTCTCCTTCTCTCCCAAGACTAACCATCTACTGATGACATTTGTGGGCTCCATGCTAAATTTACTTCTTTCTGCCTTTTAACTTCCGTCATGTGACTCAGCAACACATGCCAGAGATTAAAGGACAGTGCTTGTAGGGCAGAAAGAAGGGGAACTTTGAACACAGTGCTTTTTTGCAACTTTTCCCCCTTTCTCTTTTAATGCATTAGCCAGAAAAATGATAAGGGGTCATGAGGGGCCTGGACATATTCCCTGTAATCACTGACTGTACAGCTGGCCATTTAGGGGTAAATGCTTCAGGGAAGGATATTCTTTGTAAATCATGGGATTCCCTAGGGAGGCAATGAATGTCTCTTGTTTCACTATCTCATTAGAGAGAAAGATAAAAATGCACTTTGCAAAATCCATAATGATTTATTTTTTTCTCTTAGACGCATCAGAAAATATATTAAAGCTAAAACATTCTTGCTCCTTTTCACATAGATTGCTTGATAAATTAATTGATCTGTTTTTTTCTTTAAAGTCAGGGTGTGAAGATAGCTGTTTAAAAAGAATTTTTTTTTTTTTTTTTTTGAGACGGAGTCTCGCTCTGTCCCCCAGGCTGGAGTGCAGTGGCCGGATCTCAGCTCACTGCAAGCTCCGCCTCCCGGGTTTACGCCATTCTCCCGCGTCAGCCTCCCGAGTAGCTGGGACTACAGGCGCCCGCCACCTCGCCCGGCTAGTTTTTTGTATTTTTTAGTAGAGACGGGGTTTCACCGTGTTAGCCAGGGTGGTCTTGATCTCCTGACCCCGTGATCCGCCCGTCTCGGCCTCCCAAAGTGCTGGGATTACAGGCTTGAGCCACCGCGCCCGGCCTGATTTTGATTTTTTAAAATATCTTAAGGATATAATACAATCTAAGTATTTCTTACCACTGGGGACTTTTTGTTCTATAAAGTAAATGTAACTCACGGTATCACTTGGAATTTGATTAAAAAATGCATTTGAAAGCAGGGATTTTTTTTCCTATTGCTTTAGTTTAATTTTTCAGCTTTATTAACAAATTGAATGTAAATTAATTTCCCAAAGTTAAGTGTGTGTGGGGGTATGTCATGTGTATTTGGGGAAGCTATTATTGACATGCTTTACCCAGAAAATAAAACTGTCAGGAAACAAGTGACACAGTGTTCGGCTAAATGGTGAACATATTCTGGAGAATCTTTATCAGCAAAATGTGGATAGTTAGCTTTTGCTTTTCAGTAGAAACCTGGAAAAGTGTTGAGCTGGGGGGAGAGTCTGAGAGAAGTACTATTGACGAGATCAGGGAGGCATTGTTTCCAATTCTAACTATTCCATTTCTTTGAAATGCCTTCCTCATGGGAATTCCTTCCCAATTTCCAGGGTCATCCCACTGTTTTTACCACACACAGCACCAGCAGCTAGTGACCTTCCTGAGCCAGGTGTCGCCCCTTCTGACTTC